AAATATAAGTGGGTTTTTTTTCTTCTGTTTGTTTTATTTTTCACATTTTCTTTTATCTATAATTTGATTTTTGTGTTGATAATACTATTTCGAATATTTTTTCTTAGATTTTTGAAACTACATTTTTAACCCAAAGTTTGAAAAACAAACAAGTGTTGTTTTGATTTCTCTTCCCCCAATTAATAGTCACTCTTATGTGTTTAAAATATAGTTTATAATTTTGTATACAAAAAGTTAATATTTTATATATAATTTGAGGTTAATTAAATTAGCCATTTGTTGTAATATAATATTACAGTTATTATTCTTAAAAAAATTATTAATAGTTAATAAGTCTTGGGAAATTTAATTCAAAGTTTTAAAATATTAATTAAAGTTCTACCATCATTTAACTAAAAATTTATAATTTTGAAAAGAAAATTTTTAAATATTTTTAATATCCTAACTATATAAGGAAATAATTATTTTTTCTAAATATTAGTAATTATAGTTGTGCACAACAGTGATATGCTATTATACTTCTTGTTCTGCCAAACCTTTTCAATTTTCGAGAATTTACAAATTTGATCATTTTCCATTAATTGAAAATTGCGATTGAATTTGACACTTTTGCCAACTAAATTTGTGGTTGAATTTGAACATAAATGAAATTTTGATAGACCAGAAATAATACAGAAGCTTCCTATATATAATTAGAGCAACTTTCACATATAGCAAACAAAAAAATTATATTTGTATGCTATAGCAAAGTTTGCATAATTGCGCTCCATAGCAAACATATATATGTATAATTCGCTATACATATACAATTGAAAGCTGTCTATTTCGTTATACATATATACAAAAAGAAACAATTGTATAATTCGTTGGCTCCTCTTCAGATTTGTATAAATTCGCTGGCAGGCCATTTGTATAAATTGTTGTTAGCCTCTTGTTTGTATAAATCGTTGCAAAAATATGTGTATATCAAAAATCGCTCTCTCTTTTCGCTTTATACAAACATAAATTATACATTATACAAACATAAAACTGGGCAGGGGAATATTTTTATTGTATGATTATAAGTGTATAGGACGAATATATATGTATTTGCATGTGTATATACAAGTTTCTCGCGTTTTATACAAACAGAAACGCAATTTATACAATTTTGTTGTATAAAACGAGAAAGAGAGAAAGACAAAAGAGAACTGGGCAGGGGAATATTTTTATTGTATAATTATAAGTGTATAGGACGAATATATATGTATTTGCATGTGTATATACAAGTTTCTCGCGTTTTATACAAACAGAAACGCAATTTATACAATTCTGTTGTATAAAGCGAGAGAGGCGAGCAAAGAGGGAGTGGCGAGCGAGAGTTTGAGGGAGAGAGGCGCTGACAAACAGTTTGCTACAGGACACAATTAAATCAAAGTGTGATTATACCATTTAATTTGAATTAATAGTTTGCCATTATGTACAATTTTCCCATATAATTATTGTTTTTCTAATATTATTATTATATTGTTTTTCTAATATTATGTTTGTCAGTATTTCACGTGACATCAATTTAATAAATTTAGCTGTTTATTGAGTTGAAATTTTCTTTTTGGCCCTTTTGCGATTTATTAAAATGAGACACCTTCAAACTAATGTGAAATAATTTGGTTTAGAATTATAAGGGGAAGAAAAAATAGAATAATGAACTCAATATATATATATGTATTTCATATAGGAACCTCCACAGGTAGAGTAACTACTGTATAGATAATTTACAGATCAAACCAGGGATGATAATTAATAGGTACTAGTTCTAATTTATATGATATAATTTCTTCTTTAGTCAGTTAAAAAATAATGATATATTTTTACATTTAATAATAATATCTTTGAAATGTTCATCTTATCCTAAATGTAGGGCTGCTTATTAAATGGATCGGACGGATAATTTTACTTATCGATTTGACTTAATGGATGTCGGTATTTAAATTTAAGCACTTATCGGATAGTTATCGAATGATATATCAGCTAACCTGTACCTTTTTTTCTCTTTATGAACGCACCTTAAAATGACTTTTTCTCCTATTTTGAATGCAGTTAATTCTTCTATATTACAAAAATATAGATTAATAGTAATGTAATAGTTTTTTAAAATCAAATTAGTAATGCAATAGTTAATAACAAAAAAGAAAATAGGTTTTCAAGTTTTTGGCTTTACTGCCTTAGAACAAATAATATATATTAATATATTATGGAAAAATATTAAATGATGCTAATATACCTAAGTTAAAAGTGTAAGTATGATAACTCTTGATGGGTTAATGGTTTATCCGATAAGGAAATTGAATAATCAATACCCACACCAATAAGCTGTTAATTATAATATTCTAATATGTTCACCAATCGTTTATTCGACAATCCAATATCAATAAGCTAATTTTGCATTTGGCTTATCAGTTACGGTTCGATTTTGAACACCCCTACTTAATGAGATGATTTATAGTCACGCACACATATATGACTTGTTTTAGATCATAAATTTCAAAAAACTTTATTTCTTAAACTTCATGTCAAGTCAAACAATATCACATAAATTAGTGCCGAAAGAGTAATATTTATGAGCATTATCAAGAATTTGACTTAATAAGTTTAATTGGACATACATTTGAACTTTGACCAAACATAACAGCTGTCATATTAACATCGGCAAGATTTTTTCAAAAATAAATAAATTACTTAATCATATATCATCCAATATTATTATTTTTCTAAAAAAGAACATTCTAAAATAAGTGGATAAATTGAATTTCATCATCAAATTAACATTAAATAATAGAGCATTAGTTGCGGTGAACAGAGTTGGCATAGTTTCCGTTTGAGTAAAATCAAGATTTTAAAAAAAAAATTAATTATGAATTTGATTTTATTTAGAGAAAATAATCAAATGCCCCCTCAACCTATTATCAATAACTACACACTTATGTTTCACGGGAGTCCTATCACCCCCTAGACTATTTTAAAATGGAATAATTACACCCTTAGATGCTGATGGCACACGGAGGCATGTGAAAGTCAGAAGAATTGATAAATAATATTTTTAATTTGAATTTTTGTTAATTATATTTTTTTACTCTTCTCTTTAAGTTTTTTCTTTTTTTTTTTCTTTTTTTCCCTCTATTTCTCATTACTCAACATGCACCCCATCACCATTTCCTCCACCTTGAACCACCATCACTACACTAACCACATCTTTTTATCCTATCTTCTAATATCTTTTTTTACAATTTATTTCACTATTTTCTACAACTAACACGGTAAATCATCAAATAATTATTAAAATTATTACTCATATTTTCGGAAAAATCAAATCGTCCTTAATCTCACTATTCCAAAAAAAAAATCACAAAATAAAGACCAAAAAAAAAATAGCAGAAGAAGAAAGATAGGAAAAACAAAACCTAAAAAAAATAGAATTATTAAACACCTTCCATCATAAAAATTCATTCTATTATTGAATTTTTTAATTATTGAAGAAATTCAGTGAATTAAAACAACTATGACTATAAAATAAAAAATTTCGATCATGAATTTCATAAAGCAAACTAAACATGAGTTTTGGGTGTATGATCTGGGTCATTCATCTTTTTTCATTTTTATCAATCTCAAATTAGTTCAAAATATCAATACCATTAATCTACCTTTTCATTGATTTTAGGTCAGTAAAACACATCAACCATCAGATCTTATCTTCAATCTCTATTGTTGTTTGGTGAAGACCCAAGAATTTAATCATCGACAACCCGTAAATAAAATATTACAAATTTGGTGTCATGAAGACAAAGAAACAACATAATAAAAAAATTGAAAAAAAAGAAGAAAAGAGATGAGTAATCAAGCTCGTCAAGGTGCCTGAAGGATGATTTAAAGTGATGAAAAAATGATAATAAACATAGCTTCGATTTTTTTCATGGATGACTAATTTGGAAGAAGTAAATGAAAAACAAAAGAGAAAAGAAGAAGAAGGAGGAATAAAAGAGTAAAGATATTTTTGTAATTAATGAAAAAGGGGATAAAAAGGAAAAAATAAATATAAATAATAAAAATAACAGTTGGCAGCGAGTGGGCATCACTACATGTTGAGAATGTGGTTGTCTAGTTTTAGGGTGGTATATATTTTATTTTTGAAAAATTCAGGAGGGTAATAGGACCCCCGCAAAGTATAAGTGTGTAGTTGAGAATTCGATAATAGGTTAGGAAGGCATTTGTTTATTTTCTCTTTTATTTATTTGTGGAGTCTACATTTATATGGTACAAAAAATTATTTGATATGTTAATTTTTTTTAGAGAAAATAAATTTTATTGAGTGATTTTTTTATATAAAAATCTAAGTTCAGTGATTTTTGTGATACAAATCAAAGTTTAATGACTTTATTAAATAAATTTTCAAAGTTGAGCTCTTTAAGATATTAACTCAAGTACGTGATAAACTATTAAAAAAAAGAGTTCAAAATTTAAGGTATATTTTAAAAAATATAATTAGTATTTTAAAAACTTTTTTAATAGGAAACATACTGCATAGTTTAAGAATCACAATTTATTAAGGACACACAAAAAAAAAACTTTAGAGATAAAGTGTCAAAAACACATCTAAACTATCATTTTTTTTAGTTTCACACCTATACTCTATATTATTGAGAGTGTGAGTTTCATACTTAAACTATCACTTATTAATTTGAGAAACACATATCTCTTTTATAACACTCTCATCATGGTGTGTAATACACTCTCGGTTTTGGATACGAAGTCGCCTTTGTTAGAAAGCGCCTTACTCCAATATGAGTACCGGACATGGGATGGAAAAAAAAAGTAATACACTCTCTCTTACTTAAAAGAAATCCAAATCCTCCCATAAGTGTGATTGTTAATATAGGAATCCAAATCCTCATTGTTAATATCTTCTAAATTATATAAGGAGGTCGATCAGTACATGATAATTTGTAAGTTAGAATTAATTAAAGATGGGTGATTGGTCAGAAATTAATTATGATATGTTGGTTCTCATAGCTAAGCGTTTCAATTTAATTGAAGATTACTTAAATTTCGCCTCTGTATGCAAATCCTGGCGACGTGCGGCCACCAACGAGAATTTTAACACTAATTTGCGTAGAGTTCCGTGGCTGATGTTAGCCGAGGAAGAAGGCAATTCAAGTCGACAGTTGGTCAGTTTTTATAATGGCGGCATGATTATGAAGAAGAAGATTCCAAAAGCTAGCGGAAAAAGATGTATGGAGACTATGGGATGGCTTGTTACAGTAGGAAAAGACGAAGGTGAAATTAGTTTGTTACATCCCTTCTCTGGTGTTCATATCGAATTGCCCCACCAAAATACCACCAAAAATTATCATACACACTACCAAACTGGCGAACTGTGGACCTATTTTCACAAGGCAGTTTTATCTGCTAGTCCTTCTGAGACATCAGACTACGTTCTCATGGTAATTGAGGGAGGTGTCAAGTTCCTCAGTTATTGGAGGCCAGGCTTATAAATAAATCCCCTCACGTTGCACATCGTGATGTCATATATTTTGATGGCAAATTTTATGCAGTTGATTGGAGGGGTCAAGTTCTAGTTTGTGATATTGAATCAAATCAGACACAAGTAGTTGCACAACTAGCAAGGGAATATGATGGGGAAGAGTTGTACATAGTAGAATCACTAGGAACATTATTTATAGTTGTGCGTCACGGTGTTGGGTTAAGATGCATTACAGATGATAGCGAGAGGATTCCATTGACATTTACCCAAGATGATATTTTTGATGATCTTGATGAGGAGCTAACTTATGGGACAACAAATATTCGAGTTTTTGAGGTAGATTTAGTTACTGGCGAATTGACGCAAACTAAAGAATTAGGGGATAGAGCTTTTTTTATTGGTCATAATGCTTCTCGCTCTGTTCAATTTCCTGGAATCAAGCCAAATCATATTTATTTTACAGATGATTATTGGGAATCATACCTTTCATTTGAAGAAGGTGGTGGCTTGGACATGGGTGTTTTCAACTTAGCTGATGGCACCATCCTCCCGTTCCCACACTACAAGGGTGTCTCTTTAAGTCCCGTTTGTCCTCCAACTTGGGTTACACCAACTCTATATTGATGCCATTCGATCACACTCTTTTCATTTAATTTTCTACTAGTATTATTTGTTATTGTTGTTTTCCTTTCCATCTTACGTAATTAGAATTATGTTATGAATTGCTTTCAAATTTATATATTTGGAGAATTAATGTTTCACGCAGGATTCAGTATTAAGGACCTAGCAGGGGCGGTTCAATGCCTTAAAAAATGAGGCCCAAATTTGATGATCTTTTTTTAATTTATTTTTTAGTAATAATAGAATTATTATAAATATTTTTTAATTAAAAAATAAATTATATTGGGTCTTTCTTTTAGTTTGTTTCGAAATATTAAAGAATGTTTTTTTTTGTCCAATTTTAAATTTATCTTCCACATGATATGTTTAAGACCACTTGATTAAAAATATTTTGGTATATTTTATATATATATATTTAGTTTAAGATCATAGAAAAATAAACTCTTTTCATTAAAAAGAAGAAATAACTTTAGAAAAATGAAAACTAGATCTCCAATTTATTTTTGACTTTAGGCCACTAATAGCTGCACTATGAGATTATCTGCAATCTTAGTCTACAGCAGCATGAATAAAGGACCTACTAAGTAGACACATATTTAGTATCGTAAATTGAAGTGTGAATATTAAAAGCTCATTGTTTTCATGAATTTTTTTATACATTTCACCTAATAAAGATATTATGTAGTCGTATAAATTCAGATATGATAAAGTAGTACAAGAACACAAAAGTAACATTGGAATGTTAGAATAGTTTTCTATCAAGTAAAAGTTCAAGGTTAACAAAACTAAGTCACAAAATTATTGAAACAATTGATCATCAAATGCAAACAAGCAAATACTAATATCTGTATTTACTTCTGGGAGATTGACAAGACATACAATATTTATTTTTCAGAGTCCAGCTTTAACAATAAGCTTGAGGAAATGTACGCTGATGAACAGACGACACTACAAAATTGATGAGAGACAAAGCTCACGTCCTGTTCCATCCCATTTAACCTGCACTACAAAACACAATTGCATGAAGCACATCTAGATCTCTCAGCCACTCATACCTCTATGAAAATAATAACAAGCTAAAAATATATTTTGAATTAAATTGATCACATGTGTCAAGTGAACAATAACAAAAAATAGAAACATTTTTTCTATATATTGTTGAGTAAATATCTCAAAAGATCACTCAAGTATGTGAAATTATTTAAGAAACTCACTCAACTTAATTTTATATCAATAAAGTCACTCAACTTATGAAATTTCTTTTACAAAATCACTCAAGTTAAACTATTTTTTCTACAAAATTATTATAACCAAAAGATAAAAAGAGATAATTGCACAAATTACCCTTCAAGTTTAATTTCATAATACTTTCTTCCCTTTTACTTAAGAATATTATGTTTACCTCTTTTTTTTTTAATTATAATTTTCTTAACTTAATTAATAACTCAATTGTCCAAGCATTAAGCATTAATGCACTTGGCTCAGGCTTCGTCTCTTCAAGTAAATTTTTAGCTGGTCTTATAGCAAACAAAAAAAAATCATGAACTGGATTTTCAAAATATTCATATCAATAACTATTACCCTATTAAAAATAATGAAGAAACACGACAACAAAATAGTGAAAATGAATAAAAGAAGACAACAAACCTGTAATTTTTCAAAAAAATTATTTCAACCTATAATCTTTTCGATAGTCCTGCTTCCTTGACTTTTAATTGAAATTTTATTTTAACTGGTGGGTCGAATATTTGATACTAGTGTTTTAATATGAATTATTTAGTGTTAGGGATGATAATAGAGTGGAGCGGAGCAGAGGCAAAGTGGTTTAAGCCTTAACCCAAAAAATATTAACCACCCCGCTTTTTTTTGTGTGTTTTAGACCCACCCGCCCGCTCGGTATCAATCCCCACCCAACCCGGCCAACCCGCAACAGTTTTTTTTAAAACAAAAAGTTAAATCAAATTTAATAATGCTAAATTATTTTTACATCTTTCAAAAGCCAGCAAATTTAGATAGATTATGTAATTAAGGATAATATCTTTTTATTTTAAGTAGTATTATATGTTCATAATCTTATTTCACATCTTTCCAAAAGCCAACAGATTTAAATGGTTATCAGTTTATTTTGCAGCAGTGAGGCAGTGATGCATTAATTTTGAAAAATTGAGTTTGTAAACTTAATTTTTAGTTTTCGCGAAAAAAATTTCAAATAACATTTAAAAAAAAAATATGAATAGTTTTTATGTGTACAATCATGAAATTCAGCAAATGAAAACATAATGCAAATTCACGTTTTTAATTTCACTCAAAAATAAAATTATGAACTCATTTTAAATTAAACTTTTGTTTTGCTTAAACCCACTACCTCCCCGTCCCTGCCCCATCCTGTCCCGTTCTGCATAGCCTTAAACCCGTAATCACTACGCATAGCTTACAAACCACCCCCGCTTCATTGTCATACCTATTTAGTGTGGCGTGCATGTTTGTATGGAGTAAAAAACTAATTTGTTTTGTGAAGTTAGATTTTTTTTTTTGGTAAAATTGAATAAAAAGATGCTATAAAATCAATTAAATTAAATAAAATATGATAAAGGGCAACTTAGTTAAATAATTATATTAATAATAATTAGGTTAAGAAAATAAATATGAGAAAAATAAAATAAGAGAGATAAGTAAAATATTATAAACTACTTATTTTTTATATTTTTTGGTTATATTGATTTTCAAAAAAATTAGTTTAACTTGAGTGACTTTATAAAATGAAATTCATAAGTTGAGTGACTTTATTTTTATTAATACAAAATTAAGTTGAGTAACTTTCTCAAATAATTTCACATACTTGAAGAGAGTCGTGATACTTCCTCTTTAACTTCTGTCTCGCTTTTGACATATTATTTTAGTAACTGAATCTTGGATTTAACAATGGCATTGTAAACAACGAGTTTCTAGCCAAAAAAATATCATCCAACATCAATTGTGCATAACTAGTTACTCAAAAAAGCTAAATGCAACTCATCTACCCCAACATAATCTTGCAGATCCCTCTTGAGTAATTGAATGCATATTCTGGACAGGATATCTGAAGCTTTTATTTCATCTATGTTAATTATGGTCACACAGCAATATAAAACAATATCATTATACATAAGTGTTTTCCCAAAATGCAGGAGGTGTTAGAGGTGGAATCAGTTTTAACCTAGCACTTCAAAGGAGCCGTAGTGATGCAGGAGTATTTTCACAAATATCATGAGTTTTTTTATTCCCGTAGTTGGTATACCTGCATGTCACAAGATGACCTATAAATACTAAAGGCATATAGAGAAACATCTGAGCTCACTAGACAAAACCATTTTCGTTAACTCCTAGTGAAATCATTCTTGATGAACTGGCCGGAAGAAGAAATGCCACACATGCAACATCAAGCAAAAACTAACTTGATACACAATAGAATGAAGGTGTTATATTAACTCACACGGGAAAATTAAGCTAGAAAGACTTACTGTTTTCCCTTTCTAGATGTAGTTTTCATATCAGTAGTGCCTCCCCACATTTGTGTGCCATAAGAATCTCATATCCATTTGGATCCCCAGATAGTATGTCTTGAACTTATCATAGACTCCCAGAATTTCTGAGGGAAGAGTGCAAGTAGCGACAGACTGTGTTGGCCATAACCCAGTATTAAGGAGCTACTCTGCAATCTCAACACCCGCAGCAACATGAAAACCTATAATTGTGTCTTGTGAGGTAATCATGTCAGTAAACATGCCTGGTTTTGAGGTGAGTTCCTCAGTAAGCCCTTTCTGAAGTTTGTCATCCACAAACAAAGAAATGAACTCATCACTCAAATGGGGAAATCATGCCATTCTGGAATATTTTGTCATTATAAGACGTACTACATATAAACACGATCAAAAGACACAGTAGAGATCAAGCTTACCGAAGAACTGATTTTGGGTGGCAGACTGTCGACAAATGCCCTCCGATCCGAGTCGTGGCCACAGCATGATTATCTACCCTATCACCTTTTGTTAGTATTTGTACACAGCCAATGACCTCTACTTATTACCGAAGAAAACACAATAAATCCATACACCAACAACATATCACATTACCAGTTATTTTGAATATGTTCTGGCTTCGCTGGTACTGGTACTGGTACTGGCTCTGGGACGGCTGCCCTACGATGGACATTGTGTAAATGTTGCTGAAGTTCTGATAGAGAGGGAAATGCGTTCCCACAATCTCGACAGCAGAACGAGAACTTGGTGTGACATTGCCGATTGTGTTATTGTGTTTTTTTTTGTTTGAAATTTAAATCTAGTTAAAACTCATCTCTAACTTTACTTATTGCATCCAAAAATTTCAGTATTGTTGCACCATTAAATTGTGAGTTCTAGATGCAATAAGTGTTCCTTACACGTAACTGGTTCTAAAGGTAAAAATTATATTGCAATGAATCATATATACACATAGATTGTACTTTATGTATAATAAAAGAAATTTATGTAAATTCAATAAATATGATGCATAATTTAGTAAGATACAAAATTTGATGTACTCATTGTACTTTATGTATGATAAATTTATTTTTTATGTGAATTCAATAATATGATACATAAATTAGTAAGATAACATGATTTTGATGTAATTAAAATTGACTTTTATTGAATCTCAAAACACTCTTTAAATTAATAAATATTAATTTATCGACTAAATAATACCTTCACAAAATAATAATATTTCATGATTCCACCTATATTAATTTAGTGAGATTTTACTGTTTATAGAAAAAAGGGAAAATTGTATGAAATAGCAAACTATTAATTCAAATTAAATGCTACAGCCATAGTTTATTTTAATTGTAATTCACAGCAAACATCCTTTTTTTTGCCATTTGATTCGGTATACAATTAGCTATTTTATACATTTCGGTATAAAATGTGTTTGCGTTTGTGTTTGTATAAAGTGAGAGAAAAGTGTATATACAAATACAAAACATATAT